GGGCTCTGGAATGGCTCTGATGATCCCTCGGCTGGTTCCGGGAAGACCTATGTTTAGACCCCTGGGGCTGATGTTTCATCCCAGAAGCAATCCCTTGAGCTATGGCCCTGGCTAAAACCTCCTGAAAGGTATCAGGGAGCTCTGGAAGGGAGGGACGGAGCTCTGGAGGCTGTAGGAAGTCCCTTGCCTCTGGGGATTGCGGTGCCAGCCTGTGCCTTGCAGGGCTGAGAGCCCTGCACCCAAAGGGATCACCCCTAGTCTCAGATGGGTGGGCAGTCAAAAGGGGGGGGCAATAAAGAACTGTGCCCTCTGCCTGAGCTCCTAGGAGAGCCGGTGGGGGGCACCTGGGCCTCTACCAGTGTAGGCAGCCTGCGGGGGGAGTGTGACCTGGAAGGGGATGGGCTGATGGTCGCCCTAAACCTTCTTGTGGAGGCCCTGGTAACTCTGCCCCCTTTAGTATGGGGTCTCCTTCCTGGATGCCCTGGGGGTGCTTCTCCTGGGGGGGGGGACCTCACTCTGGTGACCAGGGAAGCTCCTCTAGAGGTCCCCTTGGCTGGATCCGGGTCCCCTGGGGATGCCCTGGGGGTGCTTCTCCTGGCGGGGGACCTCACTCTGGTGACCAGAGAAGCTCCTCTAGAGGTCCCCTCGGCTGGATCTGGGTCCCCTGGGGATCTAGGCCCAGCACCCCCGCTCCTCGCCACCTCCGCCATGCCACTTACGGTTCTGCTGATCACCCCTCCTCACTCTCTGCCGGCTCAGCTGCTTTGCGCGATGCTCTTCTAGCTCGCGCTTCCTTCCCCAGCCATCGACCCACAGCTCGAGTGCCGGCACGCACCAAAATTCAGGCCCCTCTGCGGATCACCGGCAGAATGGGGGCCGCTCTAGGCCTCTTCTGGCCTCCTCGGTGCTTCTTGAGTGCTCTTGGCGACCATAGAAGGTACGGTGGAGTTACACCTCTTTCTATGTTAAGAAGCTCTCTATATGTAATTACATCCTGTTTTTGTTCTATACTCATATTCTCTATCGCGTGTCTGGGTACTACCCAGATAGGTATCTTGTTATTTAACTTATTGTTTTTTTTAAGTAATCTTTATTAGTTATACATTTTTTNCTGGCTGTTCCGGCAGGCCTGGGGCTGTTGACCTTATTGTCAAGGTCCAGCCCCGATTAGAACGTATGTGTGTTGGGAATTTTAAACTATCCTTTTATTTTGCTTTTCTTTTTTTTCTTTCTTTGTAAGCCGCCTGGAGTCCTCCGGGATTGGGCGGCCTATAAATTAAATAAATAAATAAATAAATAAATAAATAAATAAATAAATAAATAAACAAACAAATAAATAAATAAATAAATAAACCTTCACAGACACCGAATCTATACTGGACCCTAGGTGCTGGAGCCTGGTAGATGGGACCAGGTGACTCTTCTCTAGGTTGATAGAGAACCCCAGGGACCTGAGAGTGTCGATGGTGATCCCCAGGTCCTGCTTGGCAGTGTCTGGGGATCTGGCTAGGATGAGGATGTCATCTAGGTAACAAAAAAGTTGGATTGGGAAGGAACGTGGGTGACCTGCGGCCGCGACCAGAACCTTGGTAAAGGTCCTGGGAACTGAGGCCAGCCCAAAGGGAAGGGCCCTATATTGAAAATGACTGCCCTCGTGGGAAAACCTAAGGAACCGGCGATGTTCCGGGGTGATTCTGATGTGAAGGTAGGCCTCCGTGAGGTCGATGGAGGCCAAGAAGTCGCCCTGTCGAATGCCCTGGATTTCAGGGAGGCCATCTTGAACCTACGGTAGACCACCCTGGAATTGAGTAGTTTAAGATCCAGGATGGCTCTCCACCCCACTGAACTCTTGGGGACCAGAAACAGGTTCAAATAGAATCCGGAACCCCTCTCCCCCTCTGGGACCTTCTCTATGGCCCTGATATCTAACAGGTGTTTGATGGCCTTTGCCTTAAGGGCCCATTTGGCCGGATCTGCAGAGGAGGCAAAGGTGCGGAACCTATTCGGGAGTTGTGAGCGGAACTCCAGCTGTAACCCGAGCTTAACAGTCTGGAGGACCCAGTCATCTGATGTGACACGCTCCCAGGCATCCACAAAAAGGGAGAGGCAACCGCCAATGGGATGATCCGCGAACGGATCACTTGAACCTGTGGAATGGGCGACCGCCCCCTCCTCGAAAGGGCCGCTTGCTCTGCTGCTGGCCCCTGAATCTGTCCCTAGGAAACTGCCTATCCCCCTGTCTATGAAATCTGGGGGTCTGGTACCTTGGATTCTGGACGTCCGATTCAGGTGGGCGGTAAGATGTTCTCCTGGGATAAGGAGCGTGTGGGTAATCTGACCGTCTGGTCGTAGCCGGGAAAACCTTCCGCTTGTTTTTGTCCTCCACCAGGATAGGATCCAGTGAGGCACCGAAGAGTTGTCCCCAGCGTAGTCCGCTCCTGCCAGGTGCCGCTTAGCCCAGGACTCCACCTGCCAGTGGCGCAACCACAGCAGGTGCCTGGACGCTAGAGGATGACAAGGCTCGAGACGCATACTTAACTGCATCCAGGTGGCGTCCGCTGAGAACTGCGTGGCTGCCAGCACCTTAGAGATGTCCTGCAGCAGTCATATCTCCGTGGCCGAGGTTCTGTCTCTCAGCTGTTCCAGCCACAGCACTGTAGATCTATTGAAAAAAGATGCATAAGCGGCTGCCCTAATGGCCCAAGTTATTGCTTGGAATGTCTTACGTAAT